AAAAAAAAAAAAAAAAAAAAAGAGGCAAGCATGGTGGTCCTAGTTACTCAGAGGAGGCTGAAGTGAGAGGATCACTTGAGCCCAGGAGGTTGAGGCTTCATTGAGCTGTGATCAAGTTCTGCACTGCAGCCTGGGCAACAGAGTGAGACTCTGTCTCAAATAAATAAATAAGAAATAAATGAAATAAAATAAAGCACTGTTGGGGTTATTTTTCTAGTAGAAGAAGAGAAAGCTGAGGATTGAAATGGGCAGAGTGGTGACCTAATCAATATCCAGATTGCGAACACTTAAAGGCAGGGTCTCTGTCAACTTTGTTTCCAATGAAAGCCCCATACAGTATCTGGCCCCAGCTCAGTGATTAATAAATGAGGGAGGGAGTTGTCATCAGGCATTTGAGGGACATTGATGCCTCCTCTGGGACTCTGGGTATTTATGCAGAGACTCTAGAAAGCTGGAAATCAAAGGACTGGGGATTTAGTCTCAGTCTGTCCAACACTGGTTCAGCTCCCACTCCTCCATAAATGAGTTTCTTCTTTATAAAAGAAGAGGTAATGGTATCTGCCTCATCTGGCTCCCTGGAGCTTGAGGAAGCTGAAATGAAAAAAAAAAGAAAAAATAGGAAAGAGCTTTGACACAAACAAGACACTACTTTGCAATTGTGATGGCCGGATGCTATGGTGATGTCCCAGCTAGCAATTATGTTCTCAGCGGCAACTGTGGGCAATGAGTGAGTCATCTTCTCACTCTCAAAGCCAGAGGCCTTGAAAGAGAAGAAATGAGGTGAGCCTTTTCTTAAGAGTTTTTTGGAGGGGACCAGAGCAGACCCCCTCACTCCCAACACACACACATACAAACTATACCCCAGATTCCAGCCTTCTGGGGATTCATAGTCAGCTTAAGCAAGGACTGCATCCCTACCTCTGTTATTTAATTCTGAGACACTGGGATCCCTAAGTTATTGAGGTTTCTTGGAGACTAGAAGTGAAGTGAGAGTCTCCAATTTCCATTCAGTCCCAGTTATACAGCCAGCCTTGGGCTCCAGTTCTTATTTTCACTAATTTACTCTGTGGCTTCAGGTAAATTACACTCCCTCTCTGAACTCTTTTCATCTGTAAAGAAAAAAAAAAAAACTAACAGGATGAACTAGATGCCTAACATTATGTTTCTGAATCTGGACTGGGATTCAGAAGACCTGGGTTTGAGTCCTAGCTCCATCACGACGACTGTACAACCTTAGTCAACTTCTTCCCGGGGCCTCAGTTTTCACAACTATAAAATGAGGCATTTGGGTTAGATGCTTGGCAGTGTGTTTCAAAAGTTCTGAACCGGCATTCAGGAAACGTGGATTCTAGCCCTAACTGCCACAGAGTGAATCACTGCCTGAGTTTAGACTGGTCTCATCTCTTCTCTGGGCCTGCTTCTCTACCTTTATCGTGAGTACATTCAAATATAAGTTATCTAAACACACCCTCTGATTCTGACAGCCTGAGGTTCTAGAATTTTACAAGTACTAAAAAGGAAGTGAAGAAAGGGAGAGGCCACACCCAGAGTAATTTCTCATAAACTGGCAAGTGGTTGCCCTCTATGGGTCTGACCTGCAAGTGCAGGCCCAATTAGACCACTTGCTGTAGCAACTGCTAAAGAGCTGAGGCCAGAGGGGAGCGCAAGAGATCACTGAGTACTTCACTAGATAGGGCCAGAATCAGGCTGCGGTTGACCTACAGACCTCCCAGTCCCTCACAATGAGAGACATCCAGATAAGAAGTGTGTACTGGGAGACTGAACCTTCTCTCCTAGTGACTAGAAACAAGAGGCTTTCCAGGGCTGTGCAGAGAGCATGGCCAGTAGGGTCTCTGCCATGGGCAAAGTGAATGTCGGGGGTGTGGATGAATGGGGGTGGAGTGTGACTGTGCTATGAGAGTGGGTATGGGAACAAGTTAGTTCCTTGGCTGAGAAGTTTTCACATATGGGGCAAAGATATGGCAAGAACTGCTCAAATGAAAGTGCTTTTCAGCATCCCCATCTACTCCCTTCCCTCCTCAGAGAAGAGAAAATTTATGCCTGGGCAGAAAAAAGGAGTGACCTTAGTGTCAGAGTGAGAACCTAATCATGAGAAAGACTAAATCATGAGAAGGACTAAATCATGAGAAAGACCAGGGAGTGCTTGGTATTCAGGGAAGGCCCTACTGTCTAGAGGATTTGTGGGCTCAGTGTTGAGGTATCACTAAATTTGAGGGGCTTCTTGGACACAGTATTGCAGGGCATTACATGCTGGAGGTGTAGGATGGGTTCAGATATAGGGTTATGTTACAGAAACAGGTGCATACTAAGGCTTTCATTACTGTCATTCTATAATGTTTTATTATATAAGCAGTACTAGGCAGGCCATGCAACACTGGGCTCCCCTTCCCCATCTCTCTTTCTTGGTTAAAAAGTCTGACCACCTAACTCAGATGCAAGGGAAACAACAAAGGCAGTCAATGTTTCTTCTTATGTGACAGGGATGGTTGCAGCCCTACTTCTCTCCTAATTCACTGTAGAAACCAGGTCAAGTTTCAGCATCTCTCTGGGCCTCAGTTTCCCCACCTGAAACAGGAGCAAGCTGGACTTGATGAGCTTCCAGGTTTCTCCCAGCCCTGACATTCTATCTGGTTCTTTTTATAATGTTCTGTGGTGTTCTATGCTTCTCTGCCCCTACCCGAGTAGGGGCCACCAATTCCCAAAGGTCCTTTCAACCCTAACATCCAAGCCTACTCATTCAAGCTTCCAAGGCTTTCCATTATATACTAGTCCCACCCCCACCACTTCATCCCACCACCATCCCCTCATGCCACTACCACCATTGCTGCTGTTTAGAACAGGGTGCAATCTTCTCTACTTTTGTTTGGAAATTCTAACAACCCACCTCTGATGCTAATGAGTTGATAAAGATTGATACAGTATTGCTCTGAGGTGACAGAACTCCCAGTTCTGCCACTCTTCCCTTTGTGCCCTTGGGAAAATACCCCCACTTCTCTAAACTTAATTTTTTCCCAACTCAAAATTAAGGGTGGTGGACTAGAATGGTCTCTGAAAGCAGCAAATTGCTCCAACATCTTTCACTTCTAGGCAATGAGAAGGTCGAGACTGTCTTTGATGTTTTGCCATAATTCTGATCCTCTCTCAGTGTTCCTTAAATGGAAACCTTTCTGCCTACAGCCTCTCACCTCTGATAAGTACCCGCAGTTTCCACCAGCAACTCCTAGACTTGTCTTCTTCCCTTCCTCAACCTGGTCCCAACACAAACAAAAAGTTTTTCTCTCCCAATCAAGGTGTCTGTGAGTCATAATAGTTTACTGTGAGGAACAGACTCAATGAAGATAACAAACTACTTTTTACCCTATCAAATAATTTGCCTGCTGGGCGCAGTGGCTCATGCCTGTAATTCCAGCACTTTGGGAGGCCAAGATGGGCAGACCACCTGAGGTCAGGAGTTCGAGATCAGACTGGCCAACATGGCGAAACTCCATTTAGTAGAATACAAAAATTAGCCAGGCGTGGTGGCATGCGCCTGTAATCCCAGCTACTCGGAAAGCTGAGGCAGGAGAATCGCTTGAACCTGGGAGGCAGAGGTTGCAGTGAGCCGAGATCACGCCACTGCACTCTAGCCTGGGTGACAGAGCAAGACTCCCTCTCAAAAAATAATAAAATAAAATAAAATAAAATAATTTGTCTATACGGTCTTGTCATTAGTTTATTGCACCACCCCACCACTGCTGATTCCCACAAGCCTCTCCCAGAAAAACCACAAACAGACCCTGGGACGGAGACTTTGAAGGATATTTTGAAGGATATTTTATTTAAAAGTTTTGTAAACAGAATTATTCTCACAGCTTCAGCAACAGCAAGGGCTCAATTCAACCTCCCAGTCCAGACTAGTTGCTTGGGATACTTCCTCAGACAACCCAGTGGCTTGATTTGAAGTCAGACCTGAGAGGGTCCCTTCTCTTCCTCCTGGAGGCCATTTCCAAAAGATGTGTATGGTGGGAAGCACCACAGGAAAAGGAGGGAGGAAAAAACATGCAGGTAGTTTAAAAGAAAAAAAAAGTAGAAGAGGTGGGAAGGTAGCAGCGAGGATTGGGGTAGGTACTAAAAAGTGTTTGGAAAAAATAATAAAGAATTAATAAATAAGCAAAATCAAAATTGGTCTTGTTTTGAGATGGAGTCTCCCCGGCTAGAGTGCAGTGATGTGATCTAGGCTCATTGCAACCTCCTTCTCCTGGGTTCAAGCGATTCTCCTGCCTCCGTCTCCTGAGTAGCTGGGATTACAGGCGTACACCACCATGCCTGGCTAATTTTTGTATTTTTAGTAGAGATGAGGTTTTACCATATTGGCCAGGCTGGTCTTGAACTCCTGAGTTCAAGTGATCCGCCCACCTCAGCCTCCCAAAATTGCTGGGATTACAGGTGTGAGCCACTGCACCCGGCCTCAAAATTGTTTTTGTAATCTGGAAGAGGAAATTGCTTGCCAATTGTTGCCAAAAATCCCAGTTTCTTCGTTCCTGTCCATGTGATGTGCAATGATAACATTTCATATCTATAGGTGATTACATACTGTTATCATGGCTGAAGTATTGTGACTAATATTGGCTAATACATTGTGATTAATGATGGCTAATACTGTATCTAAAATATTATGAAAAAGTCACAGAGATGAGGACGAGTGGGCAAGGATAAAATGGGATGAAGAGAGACCAGGTGCAGTAGTTCACACCTGTAATCCCAGCACTTTGGGAGGCTGAGGTGGGCAGACCACGAGGTCAGGAGTTTGAGACCAGCCTGGCCAGGGTGGTGAAATCACATCTCTACTAAAAATACAAAAATTAGCTGGGTGTAGTGGCACGTGCCTGTAGTCCCAGCTACTCGGGAGGCTGAGGGAAAATAATCGCTTGAACCTAGGAGGTGGAGGTTGCAGTGAGCCAAGATGGCGTCACTGAACTCCAGCCTGGAAACAGAGAGAGACTCCGTCAAAAAAAAAAAAAAAAAAAGGATGAAGAGGATATCGTGGAGTTAGAGTGCTTTGGTTCAGACCTGACTGACCTGCATCTGCTTGGAATCTCTGGGGACCTTCAAAGGCCCCCTTATAGCTCTAAGGAGCATTTGTCCCAGGAGCAGTAGGGGGAGCAATGCTACAATCTGGCTATGCTTGGGCACTGAAGGTACCAATTACCATCAATACCCATAACCAGTTGTTGTCAGGTACTCACAGATAATTACTATCAATACCCACAGGCAATCACCATTAATACTCATAGGCAATCGATGTTGATATCCTATGGCTACCATCACTCAGAAGTCTCTCATCTGGACCCTAGTCTAGATGGCAGGGGCAGGGATGAGGGAATGGAAGAGGAGAACTGGTTGAGAGGGAGATATAGCACTAATCCCGGAAGAACTACTTTCTATCCTTTCTGGTCACTCCAGGGTTAAGAAAAAGGCCTAGGGTAGGGCAAGGGAAAGCTGAAGCCTAGCTAGCCTTGCCCCAGGTCCCTTCCTTCAGGGTGTCCCCTTGATAACAGGGAAAGTATGACCTGCAGGTAATGGTTAGCTGATCCTGACTAGCAGGAATTGCCATGATCTGGGGCTCTTTCTTTTCTGTAACCAGAAACTGGCAAAAGGAAAGAAGGGAAGGTGGGGTCCATCCCTCTTGATCAATGGGCCTATTTGCAGGGTCCCACTGGGCCTTAGTTTCTGGCGAGCCAGGGCTACAGCATAATAGTGCTGGAAGCGGATCAGGAGCACAGGAACCAGCAAGATACCAGTGCACATGCCTGCAGTGGCTGTGAGAGCAGCAGTGGGTTGGCCCGAAGCAGAGAGGGGATAGACATCTCCATAGCCGACAGTAGTGAGAGTTATGACAGTCCACCAGAGACATGTAAAGATGTCTCCCAAGTGGGGCTCACTTTGACCTGAGATGGACATGCCTAAGAGCTCCCCATAGAGGAAGAACAAGCCAAAGAATAAGATTTCAGCAACCTAAATCAGGAGAAAGGCACCACCTCTTTCCAGGAAGAATGGAGGGTATGAACAAGGACTCTCATGGCCAAGGATTTTTCAAAGAAGCCCAGGAGACGAACCAGCTTGAGGACATAGAGAGAACGAATGGCCCCAAGGATTCAGCTAAGATAGAGTTGCCGTACAGCCTTGTCACCTACCACCAATTCCACCAATGCAGGGAACAAACAGAAGATATCAGCTAGACTGAGAGGGCTACACAAGAAGCGCACCTTATCAAGGCAAGAAATGGTCCAGGCAAAGAGCTCAGTTCCAAACCAAAGGGGACAGAGCAGCTTCAGGTATAGCAGATGTGGGGCATGGCGGTAAACAAAACCGTTGTTCTGCTGCTACTGCTGCTGCTGTTTTTCCCCTACCTCCATCCCATGTTCCGTAGTAGTAAAGTTGACAGAGAAGTAATCCAGCTGGACCTCTGTCTCCTGGAAGAAGATGACCAGGGCATACATGGCAAAGAGTGTGGAGATCAGGGAAACGCACTGGAGAAAAAGATGCTTGTGAGAAATCCCGTTTGCCAGCATCCCCACCTCTCTAACTATACTTCCAACCTTCTTGGCTTCCCTTTTTGAGGGATGCCCCCAAATTGTGCCGGAAGTCTATAGATTCGAGTCCCAAGCACTATGTCAAGTGTGTAGCCATTGTGGCATTTTGCGAGGGTCCTTTAGGGGTAGGAGTGTCTAGCATGGTGCCACACACTGTTAATTAGTTACCCTGGCCCCTGAGGAAGACTGAGGTTGGTCAAGAAGCACCCAGAGCCAGGATTTCTAAGTATTTTGCAGTCCCTGGCCTTCTATGTGGTTCAGAAGAAGGCGTTCATGCATGCAGGCATTCTCACAGGCCTCCCAGGACAGAAAGTCCTGGGTATGGGTCTCCTTGCCACTTAGCGTGAGCTGGCACCAAGGCGCCAGGGGTGCTTCTGCCAGGCCCCAATAAGCCAACTCCTCCTCTAGGATATCCCAACAAACGTTGGCAGGGCAGTGCAGCTGCTGAGTATGGTAGTAACCCAGCACATAGCCAAAGAGCTCAGGGTTGCTGTCAAAGAAAAACTCTTGGCTGGCCACAGTGGCTCACACCTGTAGTCAGAAGTTCCAGACCAGCCTGACCAACATGGTGAAACCTCGTGTCTACTAAATACAAAAAATTAGCCGGGCATAGTGGTGTACACCTGTAATCCCAGCTACTTGGGAGGCTGAGGCAGGAAAATCACTCGAACCCAGGAGGCAGAGGTTGCAGTGAGCCGAGATTGTGCCATTGCACTCCAGCGTGGGCAACAAGAACGAAACTCCATTTCAGAAAAAAAAAAAAGAAAGAAAGAAAGAAAGAAAGAGAAAAGAAAAGAAAAGAAAAGCTCTTGAACCAGTGGGCCCTGAGCACCTGGGGTGCCAGGCGGGGATGGCTCAGTTGGCTTGTAGAGGCAGGTACCTGGAAAGGCCCTCATGGTGCTGAGGTAGATCAGGTGGCATATGTCGCCAACATCCAGGATCAGTTTACTATCCAAGTCCTCCATGGAAAACTGTGAGCCTGCTTCTAGGCTGGCTGGGATCTGCTGGCAAAAGAAGGGATGACAGGGGTTAGGACATGGCCCTCCTGCCTTCCTCTCCCTTCCCACGTTTGGCCAGGGCAGAAAGGGGGCTGAGAGCCACAGAAGTGATATGACAGCCCAGGCACCATAGGGAGGTTATCCCAGGCAGGGAGCTGGAGTGCCTTTTCCTCCTGGGTCTTCAGGAATCAGGAGGACAGCAAGCTCTCGAGTGTGGTCACAGTGACTGGCCAGTCTCTCCTGAGCCCAGCAGTTCCAGGAGAAAAACCAGCCTAGCCTGGAAACAGATGTCTTTCAGGGGCTCTTGGGAGGCACCTGGTGGCTCTGAGAGAATAGTTGTGCCACGGTATACAGCAGGGGAAGTTACAGACGGGCAACTGCAGACTAAATGGCCAAGATAGGAATGGGGCGTCTCTTAATCTTCTGTCATCACTTTGAAAACTTGGGACTGGGGTGGGGTGGGATGGGGAAAGGAGTAAATGGAAAAGCCACCAAGGGAGGCTAAGTGCAGGGGATAGAGAGTGGAGTGAAAATGGGAGTGACAGGGAAGCTGGAGGGCCTTAGAGATCCCCAGGCCTCCACAGGGAGTAGGAGGTGCCTGACTGGAGAAACTGGCTTGAGGGTCAGCAGATCGGACAGTGATGGTTATTGACTCCAACTCCCCTGGCGCCCAGTCCTGGGCACTCCTCAGCAGCAGCACCAGCAGCATCGGCACTAGCAGCCTCTGTGAGTCTCTCTACTGGGCACCCTAAAATTGCTTTGGGCTTAATGAGCTCCTTGCCTGGGAATAGAAAGGAATAAGAACAGAGTGGGGAGTTGGGGAAGGAGAGAGAGAGAGAGAGAGGGAGAGAGGACAAGAGGAACACAGAAAAGCAAATGGTTGGGGGGTGGGGGTCAAAACACCTACACTGATCAACATTTCAGTGTCCCCTACCCCCTGAGAAGAGTTTACCTAAGCCTCCCATGTTTGTCCCTGAGGGCAAAAAAAGAGGGCACAGGCTGGTATTCCCAGTCCAGGAATCTCTCCCAACCCCCAGCCAGCCCCTGCTCACTCACTTGGTTGTTTTGCATGGTCCACGAACACTGGCAGTTAAGGGACTGATGGCTGGTTGAGCGGCGGGGCCGGAGGTGGCGGGGTGGGTGGTGTGGCCAGCCTTGCTGCTGCCCCCGCAGTTCATGGCTGCCTCTGCATGGAGAGATCTCAGGCCCCAGGGCCAGGGTGTGCTCATGGAAGAGATAGCCAAGAGCCAGGGTTTTCCGGGAGCCTCTTGTTCCTGCTGTGGCCAGATGATTAAGGGCAACGACTCAATCCAGGGCTGTATGTGCCCCTGCTTGCTTGTTTAGGGAGGCAGTCCTGGCCCCCAGCCAGCAGGAACCTGGCCAACTTTGCTGCTCCTCCTTCTCCTCCCCCCACCACCCGCCGCCCTTCGTTCCAGCCTGTGGCAGAGGGAAAGGAGGAGGCAGCAGCTGGAGGAAAAACAGTAAGTTAGATGGTCAGGCTCCAGCCAAGAAGACATCTCACGAGACCAGTTAATATTTGGAACAACTTTCTACCCCATCACCGAGCCCCACTCTAATTCCCCACCCTTCCCCCAGCTCTGCTGCAGTCCTCCTATCAGAAGTCTGCAGAGGAGGAAGGGGCGTGGGGGGAGGAGCAAAACAAGGACCAGGAGACAGCCCGGGAGGCCAGTTGTGTTCCTGACTGTATCCAGCTGTTTCTGCCCACTCATTTTTATGTTCTTTTCTCTAGAGGCCCTCATGCCAAGGCAGGGGATAGGGATTGGAGAAGGGGAGGGGCAGGGGAACAAGAGAGAATCCTGCTTGCCTGTGGCCTGTGCCAGAACTGGCAGATACCCCAGACCCTTTGAGACAAGCCATAGCCCCTCCTCCCACCCTTCCCTGACTCCTGCCTCCAGGACCCCTCCCTGAGGATTGAGCCAGTCTCCTATTTTGCTAATGAGAGTTTGCCAATGGAGCACCCAGATGAATCTAAATTCCAAGGTAGCCCCCACCCCTTGGCCCAGCCTCCATGCCTCTCTCCCTTCACCAGACCAGAAATTTCTATGAGGAATAAAAATTCCTACCACAATCCAACACCCTCCTTAACTCTTCCTTTTCAGCCCATTCCTCCCTCAGAGCCAGGGCTGAGCTGAATTGAGAGTTTCAAGACATGCTAGCAGGCTCCTGGCTCCTCTTCCCTCTTCATTACTGACTTGCTGTATGGCTGGTGCAGGGGGTAGTTTCCTCAGTGGACTTCATGGCTAGAATGGAAGCGGAGGGGAGTGGTGACAAACACAAAGGTGCACAGGGACCCCTGAGTTCAGCTCTACAGAACTGGATTCTTAACTCAACAAAAAATGGCAAATAAGAACTTGGGCACTTGGAGATTTTCAGAGTGGGGAGGGTAGAAGCAGCAGCTCCCTCTCTCTGCCCACCCCCTTTCCCTTCCCCTCACCTGTGCTTACCCGCAACCACTCCAGTGCATTTGCTTCTTGCTTCCCTAAACCTGCCAGTATCTTTCATGCATAGTGCTTTTCTTCGGGACACTGCTCTATCCCCTCCAGCTGTATATCAACTACTTCTTCCATATCCATCTCTAATGTCTCACCACTTTGTGGGAGCCTTCCTTGATGCCTTTCTTCCAAGATAGGGTGTTGTCCTCTGCATTCTCATAACCTGCTTTGGTTTTTTTTCCTAGAGTACTTTTCATACTCCTCCCTCCAGCCATGCTCCTGGCATTGAGTAGGCACTCATCGGCTATTGAACAAATACAAATTATAACCTTATATGGTTACCAGATCTTTCACTTTTCAGAATACAATCTTCTGCTTTCCTTAAGTCTAACCTAAATCCCACCTGCTTTATTATCCTAATTAGACTGATGCCAGCTCCCATAATGCCTCAGCCTTTTCCTATTTGCCGCTGGCTGGTGAGGGCTAACTGGAGACAAACTGGTGACTAGTCTTGCAAATGCAGCCACAGCAGAGGCAGTTTGCCAGGTTTCCTGGAATGACTCTTCCATCCTTGAAGCAGGACCTCTTCTTGTACCTCATAGGTCAGGTGTTTAAAGCTTCTACCAAGATGCCAAAAGCAATTGCAAAAATAAAAATTATAATTGCCTGTAATCCCAGCACTGTGGGAAGCCAAGGCGGGTGGATCACTTGAGCTCAGGAGTTCGAGACCAGCCTGGCCAATATGGCAAAACCCCGTCTCTACTAAAAATAGAAAAATTAGCCGGGCATGGTGGCGGGTGCCTGTAATCCCAGCTACTAGGGAGGCTGAGGCAAGAGAATTGATTGAACTTGGGAGGCAGAAGTTGTAGTGAGCTGAGATTGTGCCACTGCACTCCTGCCTCTGTGACAGAACGAAACTCTGTCTGTCACAAAAAATAAAATAAGGCCGGAAGCGGTAGCTCACGCCTGTAATCCTAGCACATTGGGAGGCTGAGGCTGGCAGATTGCCTGAGCTGAGGAATTCGAAACCAGCCTGGGCAACACAGTGAAACCCCGTCTCTACTAAAAATACAAAAAAATTAGCCAGGTGTGGTGGCGTGCGCCTGTAGTCCCAGCTACTCAGGAGGCTGAGGTAGGAGAATTGCTTGAACCTGGGAGGCAGAGGTTGCTCAACAGAGCAAGACTCCATCTCCAAAAATGAACAAAATAATAATAATAATAAAACAAAAATAGAAAATTAAAAAATAAAAACAGGCAAATGAAACCTAGTTAAATTAAAGAGTTTCTGTACAGAAAAATAAAATGTCAAAAAAAGTAAACACAACCTACAAAATGGGAGAAAATATTGGCAAACTATGCGTCCAACAAAGGTGCAATATCCACAATCTATAAGAAACTTAAATTAACAAGCAAAAAACCACAACCCCATTAAAAAGTGGGCAAAGGACATGAACAGACAATTTTCTTTTTGTTTTTTTGTTTGTTTGTTTTGTTTTGTTTTGTTTTTGGGAAAGAGTTTCACTCTTGTTGCCCAGGCTGGAGTGCAGTGGTGCCATCTCAGCTCACCGTAACCTCTGCCTCCCGAGTTCAAGCGATTCTTCTGCCTCAGCCTCCAAACTGGCTGGGACTACAGGCACCTGCCACCACACCTGGCTAATTTTTCGTATTTTTAGTGGAGATGAGGTTTCACTATGTTGGCAATGCTGTTGTTCTCGAACTCCTGACCTCATGAACCACCCGCCTCAGCCTCCCAAAGTGCCAGGATTACAGGCGTTAGCCACTGCGTCTGGCCGACACTTTTCAAAAAAAAAGACACACATGCAGCCAACAAGTGTATGAAAAAGTGTTCAACATCACTTATCATTAGAGAAATGCAAATCAAAACCACAATGAGATACTATCTCACACCAGTCAGAATGGCTAGCATTAAAAAGCCAAAAAATAACAGATGCTGGCAAGGCTGTGCAGAACAGGGAATGCGAATACACTGCTGGTGGGAATATAGTTCAGCCATCGTGGAAAGCAGTGTAGGGCCTGGCACGTTGGCTCACTCCTGTAATCCCAGCACTTTGGGAGGCTGAGGCAGGAGGATCACTTGAGACAAGGAGTTTGAGACCAGCCTGGGCAACATAGCAAAACCCTGTCTCTACAAAATAAAAAAATAATAACATTAGCCAGGCATGGTGGCACACACCTGTAATCCTAGCAATTTGGGGGGCTGAGGTGGGAGGATCACTTGAGCCCAGAAGTTTGAGGCTTCAGTGAGCTATGATCATGCCACTACACTCCAGCTTGGGTAATAGAGACCCTGTCTCAAAATAAATAAATAAATAAAAGAAAGCAGTGTGGCAGTTTCTCAACTGAAGAAAGAATTCCCATTCAACCCAGCAATCCCATTGCTGGGTATACATCCAACCAAAGGAATATAAATTGCTCCATTACAGAGACACATGCACGCCTATGTTCATTGCAGCACTATTCACAATAGCAAAGACATGGAATAAACCTAAATGACCATCAACGATAAACTGGATAAAGAAAATGTGGGGCCAGGTGCGGTGGCTCATGCCTGTAATCCCAGCACTTTGGGAGGTCAAGGCAGGAGGATTACTTGAGCCCAGGAGTTCAAGACCAGCTTGGGAAACATGGTGAAACCCAATCTCTACTAAAAATACAAAAATTAGCCAGGTGTGGTGGCATACGCCTGTAGTCCTAGTTACTTGGGAGGCTGAGGCATGAGAATCACTTGAGCCCAGGAGGCAGAGATTGCAGTGAGCTGAGATCATGCCACTGCACTCTAGCCTGGACGACAAAGTCAGATCTTGTCTCAATAATAATAATAATAATAATAATAATAATAATAAAGAAAATGTGGTGCATATAAACCATAGAATACTATTAAAAGCCCATAGACATAAAAAGGCCGCATGCAGTGGCTCACACCTGTAATCCCAGCACTTTGGGAGGCCGAGGCGGGTGGATCACTTGAGGTCAGGTGTTCGAGACCAGCCTGGCAACATGGCAAAACCCCATCTCTACTAAAAATACAAAAGGTAGCCGGCCGTGGTGGTACACACCTGTAATCCCAGCTATTCAAGAGGCTGAGGCATGAGAATCCCTTCAGCCTGGGAGGTAAAGGTTTCAGTGAGCTGAGATCACACCACTGCACTCCAGCCATGCCAATAGAGCAAGAATCTGTCTCAAAAAAAAAAAAAAAAGGAATACTACATAGCCACTAAAAGGAGTGATATCATGTCCCTTGCAACAACATGAATGGAACTGGAGGCTATTACCGTAAGCGAACTAATGAGGAACAGAAAACCAAATACTGCATCCTCTTATTTATGAGTGGGAACTAAATGATGAGAACACATGCACACAGAGAAGGAAACAGGCCAGGGCCTACTTGAGGGTGAAGGGTGAAAGGAGGGAGAGGATTGAAAAACTACCTATCAGGTACTGTGCTTATTACCTGGGTGACTAAATAATCTACACATCAAAACCCCATGACATGCAATTTACCTATCTAACAAACCTGAATGTGTACCCCTGAACCTAAAATAAAAGTTAAATAAGTCAGGCACAGTGGCTTACGCCTGTAATCCCAGCACCTTGGGAGGCTGAGGCCGGTGGATCTCCTGAGGTCAGGAGATGGAGACCAGCCTGGCCAACATGGTTCTGTCTCTACTAAAAATACAAAAATTAGCCAGGCATAGTGGCTAGTGCCTTTAATCCCAGCTACTCAGGAGGCTGAAGTTGCAGTGAGCTGAAATCATGCCATTGAACTCTTGCCTGGGCGACAGAGTGAGACTCTGTCTCAAAAAAAAAAAAAAAAAAAAAAAGTTAAATAATTTTTAAAAGCTTCTACTGTGTAAGTTTTAGGACAGAAGAGAGTGGAATATTCGCTGTTGGAAGACTGCCCTCCTTCAGAATGCCCTCTCAGGCTCCCTTCTCCTTTAATCTACCATACTTTCAGTCAGGCCTGCCTGCCTTGTTCACCTTAACTGACCCTTGGTGGCCTTGTATATGTGTGAAGTACTGGCTCTTGCCCTCTCCATACTAGAAGGCTAGAACTCTGTCCATATCTTGGGAGCCTGTCCCATACACTTTGTACCTATCTGGCCAAGTGAAAAGTCTCCGTAAATCCAGAATTTGGCCCCAAACCATTTTTGTGAACTCGTTTCCCACTCCATTTCTCCTGCCACCTTGGACTACTCCCTATTCCCCCAAAACAGCATAATGTACCCATCCCTCTGTTTTTCCTTAAGCTAGAATGCCTGCTTCCTTCCTTCCGCCCAGAATGCCTGCCTTTCCCTCCCCCTCCTGAACCCCTCCCCCACCACACACACATCTGTTCATCTTTCAAAGCCCAGCTAAAATGG